TTATACAGTATTACGATTAACTCAAATGCTCTCAAAACTTTTATTTAACGATAAATAAATTCACTACATCAATTAAATGATTTTTTCATGTATGAAGAAAGATTGCATCACGAAGGGAAGTGATTGAAAAGTTGTAATGATTAAAATTAATCTCAATTCAATAATATCTTAACAATATTATGTCTAAAAAAATATTTTAAAAAATTTACGTAACACAAATAACACAGGAAATTAATCGCAGTGCGAGATAACAAAATTTTTCTAAGAATATAATGTGATATGATAGATGTATAGACGCTTATGCATATATATGTATATATATATATAACTTTGAACAAATATATCTATATATAAGGAGCACAGAATAAATGAACCTTGTGTACGATAATGTCTGATACAATCCGCAAAGCATGCCAAGACTCTCTCCATCTCCTAGACGTTATAATAGTGCATATATGTATAGATATATAGATGCAAAAGAGCCAGGGCCGGCAGGTGTTGGTATGCGAAATTATCACGTTAAAGCACGAGTACATATACTGGTATTTTTCATCGTTGACCTCGTGCAACCAAGAACGAGCTAGATCCTCGATCCCCACGAGAATTTCAATTGACTTTATGTCGTCGCGAGAGAGCAAGCAGATTCTCTTGACCACCACAACGGGCTCGATAAATCTCTACGTCAGCTTTTCATCAGATTGAGCAAGAATTTCGTATTTTTATCGATCTTTCGCGATCCCTGGGTAGTTTGCGGAGCTTTAGGTGTAAAAGAAAAAACCATTTGCCGTTAAGTACATAAATTATTTTATTTTATATATTATTCTTGTAAGAAGGTGCACACACATTTCATTTCATTTTTTCTTTCTTAAGATAATAATCATAATGCACTGGGTAAGTAAAGTTTTGGTGATTTGAGTCTAAACATAATGCCTATTTTCTAAAACAGAGAAAAATAAGATTCAGACAGTTGAATTTAGAAGTTTAGATAATTTCCGGAGCACAGTGAAAATTTATTAAAAAACAAAAAATAATATTTTAGTGCCAGGTATTTTTTGGTCGAGTATCAGTTATGTATATACAGTGTTAGTACATAGCCACTGCACAGCGAGTATTTAAATAATGTAACATTGGTCGGATATAAGCGCCAAGACGTTCGGCGCTCGTGCGAGATAAAAATCTAACGCTACTTTATGAGCTGCGGGCGATTTTTTATGACCATCTGGATTCACTCGTGCAAAACAAAATATTTTTTTCTCTCTTTATTGTCATTCCCGTTTTCTTCAGAGCTTTATACATCCAATGTGTATGTCATAATTTTTTTTTCTGCAAATTACATTTCGTGTTCAGGCGTTGACAGTACCAACACCTTATTGGATATCACACATTTTTCCCTCGATAAAAATTCTTTTGAAACTGCAGAAAGGAGAAATCGATATACCAGTGAAATCTATGACAATCGTTGGTAATTTTTTATCTTTACTTTGGTTCATAAAAATAAACAAAAAAAATATTCACATCGAGAAGTGAAAAATGTCGTAGTGTGTTTGATGCATTGAAGAAAATTAAAGATGTGTGTTTTGTGTGGTAGACTGTATGGTGTAGCAGTACTTGATGTTTTGTCAGACAGAGGATGTAAAGATATGCACATATACACGTGGGATGTAAACTTGTCGTAGGTGGAAGAAATTTTTAAACGTCAGGCACACGCGTGCTGTCGATTCTTATCAGAAATCTATATATTATCGGTACTTGATCATTACATCCGTTGAATATAATATATACAACACACTTGCGTCATTTTTTTCTCTCAAAAAGGAATTTTAAACATTTAATTTACAATAAATAATTAAATATCAGAATAGAATACTTGAAATATAAATTGAAAAATTTTTTGAGACCGGTACTGAGGTAAAGATCGGTAAGTCGTGTCCTACGAAACGCCGAAAGGAAGAGGAACCATTAAGAAAGCAAAGTACGGCATAGACCTGAAGATCTTTAGTTAATTATTCCACGGCGCATCAGGGAATTTGCTGTATTTTTATCTCGGTCTCTTAAGTCCATACCGATCAACGTAATCAATTCTTTTGGTCTCCATCTTTGTCCTCTATCCCTGGTTGTCGTTATTTCAGGTCTCGCAAGACGATTGAGAGGTTATCGGAATCACTTAACAACTGACTCACGACTTTGGCGCCTCGCCTCTCACGATAATTGCTCGTTTCTGGATCGAATGCTAGTTGTATCGTAAGCAACCGATCGGTCGCGGGTTGCTACTCTGGATCGTTCGACATAGAGTAACCGTCACGAGAAATGAAAAGATGTATGCTACAATATATACTTTCCTATAAAAGCATGTGTTCCAAGGTACACAAAGGAAGATCTATAGTTTGCTTCTTGTCGATTTGTATGAAAATAAAAATTTTATTCAAGTGTACTAACGATTGGATTTTGTAGACGACTTCATTTTCGTTCTCTAGTGCTATAGATTTTCAAAAATTAAAGCTTCAAAATCTTTAGAAACAATTATGAAAGATCTAAGATAAAGATTTTTTTTTTTTATAGAGATGAATTCTTTCTTTATTGAGTTTTTTTTTGAGATAAAAGATTCGATTAATTATTATCGAGAGAGAAATTAGTGAAACAAAGCAACAAACTTAATCACCATTAGGTAAAAAAACGGTGAATAAATTCAATAAATTAAGTCAAGTCGTTATCGTGAATGTTAAAAGTTACCGCTGTTATTGTGCCCTATTTATTATCACAATATTAAATATGCATAAAAATGTCATATCTCGTGGTTTCATTTGTACAGTATAAATTCGAAAAAATGACATTCTAACCTTTGAAACCTGTAGATAACCGAGCTAAAATTATTGCATTACATATGTGCGAATGAAACGCCAGTTATTTTTTTAACTATTCAAAATTTTCTTTCTTTGTAATCCAAAATTATCCAGAAAAGTCCAAAGACTTAAGTCGAGATTTACAATATTAGATAATTCTAAAATGCACATTCTAAAAAGTATACAATACAGGAATTACATGCTAACACACACACACACACACACACACACACACACAAGTGAATATACGGTAGCGAAAGGAATAATCGAAGGAATTCACAGCGGCATCCTGTCTCGTGTTTGGCCTCCCACACCGCGAAACATGCAATTTCTCAACTTGCCATAAGTGCTCTCACTATTCGATTTAAGAAATCGTTGTAAGAATTAGCTTGGATCTATATATATGTCGGTAGATATACGAATAATAATCATCTGACATTTAAAATGTAACCCATCGATCAATCGGCTATTTTAGGATTTTTTTCTTTTATTTCTCATTCAACAAAATCACTGTTTACACCAAAAAAAATTCCATTTTACATTTTTATTTAATGTAAATAATTAATTCATATCAAATCTTTGATCCTTGAAATATTCATTACATAATGTTTTATTAAATTCATTTTTAATTTTATTTGATATTTTATTTTTTAGAGAAACAAATCTGAGTGGAATGTGTTTATTATGCAACATTAATTAAACCGCATCTTTTTTTTTTTTTTGTTTAAATAATTTAATTATCATTTTTATGAGTTTTTCTTAAAATTTTGCAGAAAGTTATTGTTAATCGTTTTAATTAATTAAATGATCATTCCTATGATAATATTCGATAAATATAAAATAACTTTATATAGTATTTTTTTTTTTATAAATATTATATTGAAAAATAATATCGGAGTAGAAGTTGGTTTAAAAATGATTTTATTGAGCAAATTACTCCATCAGTGTCTCATTGATATCTATGAGTATCACAGTGTTCCTTATTTTCATTCCATTGTCTATTTCCGAAATTTTTAAAAATTTATTCAACATTCTTACTCACCGAATGACTTGCGTACTGTTGTATAATCCAAGCCGATTGAATAGAAACAATTCTCTCTATATACGTATATAACTCACAGCATCAACTATAATACCTTATGTATTCTTATGTGAACAATAAATATGTCGCTGGTTGGTATTAATATTTTTTCCAGATTATTTTTGTAACAACAACAGCCAGCAGTACACCATTTACATTATTTTCTCTCCAAGCGAATGAATCTCGTTTCGTCTCGCATTCACCCCTTTTACTGCATTAGTATTCTCCTTCTCAGTCTCGTGTTCTCCCACGACAGTGCACAGGTGCGCAATGAAATCGGTTCGCCATCAGTAGTCTAGCTACCAAATCCGGTGCTGTTGCGCTATCTTTGTGCTGGACAAATGACCTTATATAGGGTGACCACATAACGATACATTAACGTTAGAGAGATATATTTTTAATGATCTCACCCTCTTTCACCAACAGACACACTAGAATTTGGTTTAATAAAATAAAACTCTCACTTCAAACACGGATTCTGTGTTGAACCAATGAATTATACTATCATAAAACAAATGGGTGATGTTGAAGACGGAGTAGAAGTGGGATGAAAAAGAAGGATGACCTTGAGGACGCACATATCCGCGTTTATATAATGATTTTTCAGTTCAGAAATCAGCTCTCAAGTTGCACATATATCGCTAAGCGGCCTCTGGCGATCAATTCTTGGCGATATATACTCTACAGAATCCATGCCAATTTGTTGTCGGCCAGTTAACCAACCGAAGGACGCGCAAGTCCCATTCGCCAAGAGGCAAATAATCTCTCTCTTACTCTTCCATATATACTTGAAAGAAGAGAGTCCTGTTCTTTTGATTTGTGCCCTCGTTATATTCGCGTCCTCGAGCCTCTTAACATCTTGTGTAGAAGAATATAAGGTTTACCTAATTTCATATTCCGTATCCTGTGGCTAATTCGTACTCGATAATATCTCTTTAACGAATTAACCAGCATTATTTTTTATACTACATAAATAATGCGACTTTAGGCTAAATTTAATTGTTTTTTGACAAGATTGAAGAATTCATGAAATGGTGGACTCATTGATCTTGCAAGTAGTCAAAATAATTTGATTCCAGATGAAGCACATCAAGGTATAGGATAATATGGTGACGATATGTTATACATATCCGTTGGAGCGAAGAGAGAACAGGTGAAGCACCTGCTGTTGGTTAACGCCAGCTTAACAGAGACTTGAGTGAAGCAGTAGCAGGTGTATTCTCCATGTATCTACGCTGCTGTATGCTAATTGGGCCAGAGTTAGCGCTCTTCAACTGGGATTTAACGAGCCTCATCATCTAACTGGTGAGTCATTAATGTCAATTATTTATTTGTTTTTACTTTTTCATAGTTTGCTTATACTCTTTGCCTATTTATTAGTGTCGATAAATCGTTTTAAATGAACTTAAAAATAAGATTCTTCGGTAGAGAAGGTTTCTTTATCCAGTTTATCTTTGAGAAATTGCAGCTCCGTGAAAAATCATTGAATCTTCATTAATCATAACTTATTTTAAAGCTCATAATCTTCACTTTGAAATCATGAAAATAAAAAAAAATTATTTAATTTATTTAGGGTGCAGAGATTACATTTTTTTTTTTACTATAAAGACATTAAAGTAGAGATCTTAAGCTTTAAAATGAGCTATGGGTGATGAAAATTGGATCATTTTTTACCAGGATACAGAGCTTTTTTATGATAGGAAAATCGTTCAACATCACTTGATGAGGTAAAACAGTTTTCTCTTCCATTATTTCTAGGAAGAAATAAATTATGGAATTAGTTGGTAGATTATTTTATGAAAATAGAATAGATATAGGACAGATTGATGTAAAAATATTCAAATAATTGAGAAAAAATAGACGAAAGAAATAACTGGAGACAAAAGTGTGGTCTGAAGTTGAACTCGATTGACCTCAGCGAGTGTTCACCCACACTATGTGTAGAAGTATATAGACCCTTGGGGCCCGTTTCCAGTCCTCTTTGGCTGGTTCTCTCTCGCTGATTCTCCGAAACTCTCGTCGGCACATCTTCGTCTCCACCTCCGCACTCCAAGTAGAGAGACTGCAGACGCGACTCAGGCAAAAACCGAACAACGACCATAAGAGGACGTTTTATTTCATCATTTTTATTCTTTAATTTTCGTTGCTGCCCACCCGCTCTACAGGTGTCTGACCGCGCCTAGCGGCTACAGAAAAAGGGACAGAGTAGCTCACAACAGAACCGGATTGCAGTTCACAAAAGACCTAATAATGAATCATAATGAGTGAAGCATAGGCGTTTTACCTGATTTTAGCACGCATATATTCCAGTAAATAATTACATAGCTCAACAGTCATTTTTAGTATTTGCAAAACAACAAGTTTCTTTTAAATAATTTACACAATTTTACCACGAAGAATAATTTTTACTTTTAATTCTCCACAAATACATTCACCAAGAATTTTATTCCTCTATAAGAATTTCTGATAACTACGTCATAACTTGTAACATTGCAAGGATATTAGAAGTGATAAAAATACAACAAAGACGACTGCATCTTGAAGATGAGAAAACGACCGATTCCAAAGTTTCAAATCGAAAATAAAAGAATTTCATCAGCAAACATGCTAAGAAAAAAAAATAAACTTAAAAAAGAGAAAAACATGTTGTTTTCATGATGATTACATTCCAGTGGTAATTTCAAGATGATGTTTGACCATGAGCTATGAGCTTTCAAAGTCAGCCAAATTTCGATCTCCACAGGTCTTTATGTTGAAATGAAGAAGAATAAGATAAAGTGTTTGAATAACCTGACTGACATCTTGTATTAAGGTGATAAATTAGATGTTATCGTATCGAAATGATTATTTCATTCATTTGTTTTCTATTTTGTATTGATGATATGACACTTTGTAGAATATAGCTAGAGAAAAATCATTGTAGCTCACTATGATACTATAAAGTAACTGATCAATTGATTGATAAGAGTTTAAATCATCAAGAAAAATTATAACAAACTTCCCACCGCATTTGATCTTACTTAGGACTTCAACTTCGACATTAAAAGAGTGATGAGCTTGATAACCTAAACATTTTTCAACTGAGCCATTGATACCCCACCAAAGTCATCCCATTTTAGCAATTTATGTACAATATAAATGACTGCATTCCAATTTATTTATCTCCATGAATAAGTTTCTCATGAGCCCTCGAACATTTTTATCCAAGACTTTCGACACTGTAATTATAATTATAATGATAATATTAATCTAACAGAGGATGATAATGAAGTAAAAATTAAAGCTGACTAAATAAAAGAGCAAGAGGGTCAGCATTCGTTTGCGAGGCGTGTCAACCTGCCAAATATTATGGAAATTTATTCGTGGTAGACTGGTACGCGTAATGGATTCCTGTAAGGGAACAGAGGCAACATTACTGAGCATATTCAGATACCGTGTATATTTCCTCCTCTCCAACCGCATCGGGTATAACAGTGTCACGTCGCCATCGGCTAAAATCCTTGAGAAACAAGACACGCTCTGGCTGAGATATGAAGGAAGGGTCGGAGCTGAACCACGAGAAATTGATCAAAAAGTTGAAATAAAAGCAAATAAGGTGCTAAATCTTGCTGCCGGGTCAACATCAGGATGATTCGTTTATGAAAAAAAATATTTACTAACGGGTTGTCGAGAAATATGACGTCACATTAACTATTTACTGATATGCAGACAATGTAACGTGGTGTGATAGATAATAGTAAAGAAGATTGATGGAAGAAATAACCTTTTTGGTGATGAGATGATCAAAAAGTTAATAAGTTGAAATAGCTTCTCGATGTCGAGTGTGTAGTAGAGAGTAGTACACTTTTTCCTCTCACATTGCTTCGCCTTCTCGATGACTTTTAACTATTTTAACTTCCACCTTTTTCAATTGATCTCCTAAGATTAATTGTGGATATTATTCAATCTTGATTCTGACGATTTGAAAGCAACTTTACATCACTTAACAACGTCATTTGAAAACATACCTTTCAAAAAAATATCCTACGAGAAATTATATCTCCAGTGCTCGTCAGAAGCACTTTTAGAATTTGATACTTTGACTATTTTATGCTCTTGTATTAACAAATAATTTTATTAATGGAAATGAATAGATGCAGGGTAATGATGAAGATCATTCACTTGGTGAGGAAGAAATTAAAGTCAATAACTGTAAAAAAATTTCCATAAGGATGGTAATGATAATCAATAGTCCACTACTGGTACGAAATAATGAGATTTAGAGTGCAGAAGAGACATACCCTGATCCTCTAGCATTGAATAATACGATTACATGACTCAATAATACGCGCAAAGTGCGAGGAAAATCGGGATAAGGATCCAAGGTGAAGATTATCGATTTGTTATGCGCATCGGTATATACTTTTTCACACCGGAGGGAAAGGACGATATGATTTCAAGTTACAAGGAGAGTGTCTGGATGATCATGATGCAAGCATTTCTCAGACCAGTTTCATGTTGTTTTTAATATAAATATATATATATATATATATATATGTATATCGATTTAACTGTGGTGTATACCTACTAATAAACTGGAATAGAAGGTTCATTCTTTCACTCACCTGTACTTAACTATGAGTCTAGAGTCTAGACATGTTGCCTTGACCTAATCAAATATCAATTTTTACCAATTTATGTTTCAACAGGTTATCATTTTTACGTCCCTTCAGTGAGTTTTCAAAAACGTTAACCTTTTTTTGTGATTCATTTGAATAGACCTGAAGATTAGGAACAATCATGATGGAGTTTGATTTCAATTCAGAGCAACAAAATTCTTAAGATAAGTTTAATGTTACACTTACTCTTTTTAACATCTTCAATCTACATCTCATAACTTGGTTAAAAATCTTTTTTATCTGATGGATAAGACATGAGTTAATAAGTCATAATTAATCTAATGAAAGTGCCACTTTCGTAGTGCTATTCACAGTCCTTTAGTTAATCCTAGATGTATATGAACACGTGTCGCCTAAGTTTCCGAGTGATTAATCGTCAATCTTTATTTCATTTTCATGGATCATACAAGGATAAAATAACTTATCCAATTTTAACAGGAAAAAAATAATGTGTAGACAACAAAACACATTGAATGGACAATTATAACTGACGAGACTTATAATTGTGCCTTTTCATTACAGACAAAATAGTATAGAAAGACTGATCTCTCGAGCTTTTCGCAAAGATCATCAACGTCATTAACTTCATTTAAAATCTGTATAGGAATAAAAGACACTTAATGTATGTACAGCCTACGCGTGCTGGCAAAATTAACTTATAAATATACCCACTGTACTATCATGATGAAAAAAAACGTTCTAACAACGACTGCCTATCATTAGTTGGATAAAAATTATTAAATTTCAATTTATTGAAAAAAAAGTGCAGTAATTTTTCTATCAATACTGTCGATATATTAATAAAATACGAATTGATTGACATAGAATACCTAACAGCTAGTTCACTATATTCTAGCAGGATCTGACGGGAATAAATTTCAAGTTGGGCGGCCTGAATGAATGAGTATGGAGTAAAACGCAAACACGTTATGACGGTTGACGTCTAGTGGCTTGTGAACTTTTTCCACATCCAGTTCCGTACGTCTGCCACAGTACCGCACGTTGATTGTCCAGCTTGTCAACATGGAACACTTGGTTCTAAGGTAAAACTGCGTCACTTATATACACGTGACTGCGGCCCATCCCAGCTTGTTGATCTCTTTCTCTCTCTCTCTCTCTCTTTCTCTCTATCTATCTCTCTTTCATCAACTCACCTAGCCACCTGAATGATTCCAGACGTAATCGGCCAGCGAACCCTGTAACATTGTCGCTTTGGATCTATCTTATATGTAAGGCTTCTCATTGCCCTCAAAAATTAGATTAAAAATAAATGAGATCATTATTTAACTTGTACAGTCACTAGGAAAATTTGATCTTTCTTTTTTTTTGGTCATTGTTCCAAGACATTCTACATCCTGCAGCTATAAAACTTATGAAATAGTATTAGAAATTAGCTGATAATGATGATAATGAAAGTAAAATGAAAAATTATTCATTTTTAAACTGTTTAATTATTTGAAATAAATAATTTATTTAACATAAAATGTTTACTTATGTCTGTCTAGATGTTCTTTCGAGCAATAAAATACAGCTCGGGACCAATTCATCGACACTGTCGTTAATGCACAGTATGGGAGAGGAAGTTGACGAGACTCCTGCATTGCACCTGGAGAAAAATTGATTACAGAACCATCGGCGTATTATTTT